TTGATGTTGCATCTGAAATATGATGTAAAAAGTTTTTTCAGATCTGAAATTTTAAGACTAAGGCCCGTCACTTAACACACTAAGATGCATTTCAGACGTGGCCTAAAGTCAAAAGTACCCCTCCCAATTTGACCTCTCTCCCTCTCTCTCTCTCTCATCTTCATACAACTCTCTCTCTCTCTCTCTTGCTCCCCTATCTTCCCGTCACCGTTGCTGCAACTTGTAGTAGCGTCGGTTTGGTGAGTAATAATTAGTAAAAAAAATAATAATAATAATATTATTATTATTATTTTTTTTTTACTAATTATTAATTATTTTAATATTTCTTATAATCATTAATTATTTTTTTAATTTTAATCATTTCATTTATTTATTAGTAATTATTAATTTTTTATTTGTATTATTTCAATACTATTTTGAGGTTGAAAATTATTTTTTATGAGATAATGCAAATTTAACTCAATATTTCCAAATCTAGTTATGAGATAATGCAAATTCAGAATTCTGAATTTAAAATCTAGTTATGTTAAATATTTTGTTATTTAAAATATTTAGTTACTTAACTACTAAAATAATATGTAAAATATTTAAATTTTAAAATATTAATTATTTATTGAATTTAATAATCCATAAAATTATAATTTATACTATTATTACATAATTTTATTGCTAATTTTGTAAGATATTGAATTATTATTAATTTCAATATTATGCTATAATTATTTTTCTACTATTAAGAAATTTTTTAAATTTATTACATAATTTCTTTATTTTAACTATTTAAAATCTAGTTATGTTAAATATTTAGTTATTTAAATATTTAAATAATATGTAAAATATTTACAATTTTTTGTTATTTACTGAATTTAATAATATATTAAATTATAATTCATACTATTAATACATAGTTTCATTGTTAATTTTGTAAGAAAATTTTTTTGTTATTTGAATTTTTTTATTTAAAGCTATTATATATTACTAAATATTTAGTTATATAGTTATTTATATATTTATAATATTTGCTATTTACGATATATATTTATTGAAATATTTAAATAAGATTTTATTTTTTAATGTTGTTTTTATTATTTGAATAAAATTTAAATTGATAATCCAGAAAAACAGATTTTAAATTGTTAGTGCATAATTTCATGATATATTTTGTAAAAATATAAATTTTTTTTGTGTTTTTAATAAATATTTCTAAAGTTATGATATAATTTTGTTAGAATATTTAAATAATTCTTAAATTTTTTAATCCAAACTTTTTTAGATAGATATAGATAAAAAATAGAGAGGATAAATAGGAATTAGAGATAACTTAGGAGAGAAACTCTCTACTAAATTAGAGATAATTTTTTAGATAAATAGGAATTAGAGATAATTTAGAAGATAAACAGGAATTAGAGATAATTTTGGAGAAAGTGGAGGAGGTAGTTTTGGAGAAAATTTAGGAGAAGAGATTATTTACGTTATTAAGAAAGTGCATCTCATTGGTTGTTTCAAAAAATGACATGGAATATAAAAATAAAAAATTCAAAAAAATGAGAAAATTTCTTGATCGTTTTGTACCCTGCAACCGACGAACATTAATTGTTTATATGTCGAGTTGTTGAAACATCTATTAGAATATTTAGTGTAGGACAGCTAGTTAACCATGTGTCATCTACCACTTACGTGTCCAATTTTCTTGCATTGATCGCAAATATACTTTGAACGATTGCTATTCTCAGAGTCTTGAGGCATGGATCTTGATACAGTATTCAATACAGTAGCTTCAGGGTTTGGCGGTCCTCGAAGAGAGATTGATAGCTAATGGCATTCTTCTTGGATTACAAGAGAATACACCTTGTTCAGACTCAGTAGTGGATCCAATCCCAGAATGTTCGATCGAATGGCGTTGAAAGATTCATTTAAACCCATCAAGAATTGGTGGAGTTTTTCTTTCTCACGATCAGTAATGAAATGCTTCAAGGCTTTGCTGGTGCACTAAGGGAGATCAATGGACTTCCGAGTTCATCCCACAACCCTTTGAGTTTGTGAAATACCCTGCTATGGTCTCCTTGTTGTCGCATTGCCAAGTCCCGTTTTAGCTGATGGTGTCGCGGGACATTGCTCTGTGCAAATCTTTCTTCTAACTCTTTCCAAATCTCAGAAGCCGAGTCAATGAAGGCTACACTTTCGTGGAGTTCTTTGGCCAGAGAGTTGAACAACCAAGAAACCACCATTGAGTTATCTTTAACCCAAGCATTCTCTTCTAATGATGATCTTGGTGGCCATGGTAAAGATCCACCCACAAATCAATATTTATTCTTTGCTCTCAGTGCATTCCGCATGGCCCATTGCCATGTCGGATAATTGTCTCCGATCAAAGGAAAGGATGCTAGAATGCTCCCTGGGTTATCGGATGGGTGTAGGTAGTAAGGAGAAGTTGGATCAAATTCCATGGTCATCACGATTGGAAACAACGGTGGGTGCAGCAGCCAGAAGAAGGAACTCAATGATGAGAAACCAAAGAAAAAAAAGGAATCACAGATCGCCTTAGTAGTGAAAGGCAACAACAGAAGGAATTACTGGCTCTGATAGCATGTAAAAACTAAGACAGAGAAGGCTGAGGGCAAAGACTTATTGCAAATATTTGGAAGTTCATCGCAAAAGGGTAAAACCTCATCTTAGGATTTCTTGAATTAAATGAGTGAACAAATGATTTATAAATACATTTTGCATCAATGTGTAACCGATTTATAACTAATTTACGTAAGTGGTAGATGACACGTGGTTAGCCAGCTGTCCTACACGAATGAGTGGTAGATGACAATGGTTATCCAACCTAGATAACAGTGGTAGATGCATCAAGGGTTATCCAGGTGGAGGATGCCCTCTCAACTGGCCCTCTCAACTAAGATACGAACAATAAGGCGTCTGTTTGGAACCGTTGCTGTTGCTCCAGAAAACAGCACCACATCAGCGCCATGTAGGAAACAACCGTCTCTTTGGAACTATTTTTTCATAGAAAATAGTGCTCCAAGCCACACCTTGGAAATTGGGAAGGCATGGCTTGGAGCAATGCCAAATTTGGTGTTTCGTGGAGCTGCAGCTCGTTGCTGCCAATAGGGCAGTGATGTGACAGTGGATAATGGGTAGAAGTGCAGAAAACGTTTCCTAGAGCATTGGTACCAAACAGAAAAAGTTGTTGTTGCTTTAGGAAATGTCCTACCTAGCAATAACGATTCCAAACAAAAAAAAGGCACTGTTTTATGAAAAAACGGTGCTCCAAGCCACACATCAGCGCTGCAACTGCAGCATCGATGCCAAACATATACAAAACTAGCAATCCACTATGCTTCAAAGGTTGATAATCAAGCAGTCTTGATTAAGAGTGATTATTTGAAAGACATCCAATTGCTCTAGGGTTTGTTGCAATTTCATCTCCTTTATCTTATGACTGGATAGACATAGACTATCCTTCGCAATGTATATCCCATCTTTTCTTTGAATAGAATTAATTTTTGAGGCCAAAAAAGACTTAAGTAGTTTTAAATTTGCAGGGGACATTTAAGTAGTTTCTAATGTACAGGGTATACATAAATAATTTTTTTGGCAGTATATATAAATAATTAACCCTTTAGTATTCCCAAATGAAAAGTTCATTTGGACTAGCTGTTCCTAGAGGCTTTTGGGAGTTTAAGGGAATGCTTGCCAATATAAAATAATTAACCCTTTAAGGCTATGTTTGGTTTGAAGGAAAAGATAGGAAAAAGAAGGGAAATGTAAAAGAAAAATCAAACACACAGCATAAAAGAAAAATCTATGATGCTGGAAATTCTATACTAAAATAAACATTATTATGATAATTTCTTTTTGAGAGAATCATTATTACGATAAATGATATATTGTTTTGTTAACTGTTAACATCATAGAATATGTGAATTTGCCAAACCATAATTTGTTCTTTTTATCCTCTATTCATATAAGTATGTAACTTGGATCATTCAATACCAACCACAAGGCCCCTGAAATCCAATGCTCCATTAATTGTGTTACGGATAGGCTCTACGCTGAACACATAGGTCCAACTTCCAACCCATGTCACAGTTTACCTTCACAGCTTGTAGAGAAGGAGTCCATGAATCAGGCCGAAGAGGAGAGGCGAGGTTGGTAGAGGTGAAATTCTGAATCTCTGGAAATAACTTTGTTAAAAGCGTCATGGCTCGATGCAGATCTGAACTGGGCTACGATGTTCCCCTTTAAAAATGAGGTCATTTCTAGCCCTCTGGAAATAACTTTGGATTGAATTCAGATTTAATGCAAGTCTGCCTTATTGTGTTTAAAATTAGAATATAAAAAGGTCTAAAAAATAATTACTTTTAACTTATATGTAATTTACATAAATAATAAATGTTAAATTTAATAGTACAGATTATATATACACATAAGTTATATTATATAATTATAAATTTTATCAGTCAAATTTGATTAAATTTACATCCAATCCAATATTAATCTAATGAACGTTCTAACATCTAAATCAGGAATAACTGAATCAGCTATGGAAGTAGTAGGTTTAAGATTTTCGGAGTCCATTGACTTGGATTCTGTACAAGTCATGAAAGTTAAAATCCAAATGCCATATATGGTTAATATAATCAACAAATGGATTCTAATCAAAATTGCTTCACAAAACTTTAAATCATTAGGATCCACATCACAAATTCCTTGTCACGCCCACCCCACATCACTTGCAGCTGTGAATTGGGAACATCTCCTATGAACAAAAATAAATACTGGAGATGTTTCCAATATGCAGCTGCAATGTGCTGTGAGGAAGAAATCCGAGAACTGTGCTTTTGTACACCTGAACTTTCAAGATGGAACACCATTTCTTTAACTATGGTAGAAAGCCACACATGGGGTGATCTAAAATTTTGTTCCTTCTTGTTTTGTTTTTTTTTTTTTTTTTTTGAACAAAATCTTTGTTTGGTTTTAATCAAGACTCATGATGTTTCCACCGTCCAATTGAATTTCAAAGACTTCTTAATACAACTAGTTTTTACATCTGAACTAGAAAATGCATTGACCCTTGTGAGCTATGAAAGCTATCAGAACTTCTTTAGTGCAAAATTAAACCTGCCATATATTGATGGAAAGAATTAGTATGAACCAGGTAGCACAATGAAAAGTCCAATATAATAGAAGAATCTCTAAGGCTCAGTTTGGAAGGAGTATAAATACAAATACATAGAGTGCAAAACCTTGTATTTTGTATGTATTTATACCGTACATACTTGTATCTGTACTCTTACAAATATTTACAGTGCAAAACCTTGTATTTTGTATTTTTAAACCTTGTATTTGCCTTATACATATTTGTATTTGTATTCTTTCCCAACTGAGCCTAAAGAATATACAGAACCTGCAATGCTAAGACAAATAGAAAGCTTATCTAATCAAATTATTGCAATCATCATTATGCCCTGGAAAGCATAGAACAACCATCTATAGCACCTATTAGAAAATTTATTTCTTACAACTAAGTTGAAGGGGCTAAAAGATCTAGGGACAGACCAAAATGGACTTGGGTGAAAGTAATAAAAAATGATTTTAAGTGCCCATAATTTAACTATGGATATGACACTGAGTAGAATGAAATTGTTGGATTCATGTAGCCAACTACATATAGTGGGGACAAGGCTTAGATGATGATGATAATAATCATAATGCCCTGGAAAATTGTATGGTATTAAACTCTTAATTACATATATACAAATCTTGGTGACTACTGACTAACACATTAAGCTCTACATATGATCACTCAAGCAGATACTACATGTGTACCAATGAATCGGTACATTGACCTCAAAACAATCAACCATTATGGATGATCTCATGGGTCGCACTATAAAAATCACTCATTAAAGGTTTTGGTTTTACTGATATAAGAGTGTACTGATTGGAGGATATCATTTCTCCAATTTAGTAATAAGGATATCTATTATATCAATTACATACATTTGAGAGGTAGAAAAGAGAGATAACCCCTGTCATTGTATAACTTGGCAATTAGCTATATATTGACAAACAAGAATATCTAGACAAAGGTTCAATATGAGGAACATTATGAGAGAAATGGCTAGTATCACAATGAGATTTTACCTATATGAAAAACAATATTTTCGTGCATCTCCAATTTACAAGAAAACAGATAATTTTTTTTAGAACTCCAAACTTTACTCCAGGTGGAGGGGCGATCACCTTAAAATTTTATTAATCAAAATCTTAACATAGATTGCAAAATACACAGGGTACAACATAGCCTGCCTTTCCCCTAACACTGGTATAGAAGCACACCCTAAGTCACTTCCCCTGACAAGATGAACCAAGAAATCAGGAGGTAAACTGCTATGACCATTTTTTAATGATCCATGGGATACCCATTTACAGGTTAAGAACCAAAAGCAAAAAAAAACTAAAGAAAACTTAGACCTTGATGCTGATATAATTTTAAGAACTAACCCTTTCCCTAAATTGACAAAATTTTTCTTAGACATCCCCATGCCTAAGTTCCAAATTTGCTCACTTTCTTTAATCAACATTTTCATCTTCTTACATGCTTAAGATTAGAACTCACCTTTAATGCCAAGTTTGTGATAAAGGGTTAAAACTGATAGTTCAACCATAAACTACAATATTTATAAATGTAGGAAATCATACACACGTCAAAAAGTTTTACATGCATTAACAGTTTCAATCCAAAAAGAGTTGGTTTAAAATGTTTTCACATGAAGGTGCCAGCAATCTTGTTGGTAAGGTCTCTGTTGGATTGTAGCTTAGGCGTAGATTGAATCCTACCTTCACCAAGGATTAAGGGTTTGTGGGAGGGATACCGCCCACTGTGTAGCCCAACATTTTCCAACCAAATGAAATGTTTTTACACAATAATATTGAATTTAGAAGGTCCAACTCATTTATAGATGTAAAAACGTATTAGGTATCATTTTTTCTATTGCTCCTTTATGTAGACTTCAATAATCTTCTGTTATTAAGACAAAATTCTGTTTAAGAACTAGTTAACTCAATCTCTTAATAATCCAAAAATAAAAATAATAAAAAAATTCAAGCTCTTGATGAGATTTAAGCATGGAGATAGTGATATCTCAATTCAATGACATTTATAACAACTGCATGATGGTTCTGTTAGTCATTATTGGCTATAAGAGTATGCAATTGCATATTTGCATTTACCCAGATATTCTCACATTGCATATTCTGTTAAAAACAGGTGTGTGATCATTTTTAGATTTTTTCTAGGAGGAGCTCAAGCAAGAGAGAGCAGGAATAAGACTGCTTAAACAAAAGAATGAAAATTTAGCTGAGGAAAGGTGACTCTGTTTATAAAATTAACTCTGCTTCTTCAGTATTCAATTCATAAAACAATTACCCACACTAACTGTGCTCCACAAACAGATTTTATTATTAAAAATTTGTAGTAAATTTGCAAGTTAGTAACCATACAACAACAATGACCAGGTAGAGGAATTATATGGATGGCATTTCTCTGTTGTATCTTCAATGTACATCTGTAAGGCATTGAAGATAAATAAATATAGTTATTAGGACATGAACAGGCATAAGTACAGAAGTGTACAATAACACAAAGATGCGGAGCAACAAAACCTTCCAGTGTTAAAAGCTTATGGTAATTTCTATGATCCATAAAATCTTTGTTGAGTTTTTTTGAAGTTTGGGCTTCTTAAATTACAACACTACAGAGTGCAGACTTTCCATATACAATTATTTTATAGTACTTCTGAAGCATTTAAAATTAAAGAGTAAAATCTTGCATTTGGGAGAAAGAAACCAAAGTTTATCTCAAAGTCAATGATAAAATAAATTACCTCAAATAATATTTGATTGTTCCATATTTTGGTGAGTAGATAATCCACTTAATTCAACCTTACACGACTCCATAGTCCACAATACCTTTGAGCATTACGGAACCAAATATGCTGCAAGGCTCAGACGAGCAGATTAAATCTAGAATACTGTTATGCTCCAATTTGACCCCTTGTCATATGGGAGGGATTGGATTGATCCAATCATCTCTCTTACTCCATGCCTGCTTAAAGAAATCACCATGAAGTAATATGAACTATGAAGAAACCTTGTCTTAGTAAAGGATTCAAGCTTGCAAGCCTGTCAGCTTTGTATAATGGATGGGTTCAGATCTGGAATGCTGTCAAATTAAAATAAATCTCAAATTAGATAAGGAAAAAAATGAGGAAAAGGAGAAAAGCTGAACAAAAGACAAATAACAGCTAAATTCAAAGACGAGTAACCTGATGCGGATATTGTTTCTTTTCAAGAATACCATTCATACTCCCACTCAAATGCACGATCACAACTTTTGGCGATATTAAAAAGTGCATATGGAATGTTAGCTATCTTAGGCCAATCTCTTCCAGTCTTCTTTTGGCACGAGTTCTCCAGAAGGGGACATCCGTTTATCACCGGCCTTCGAAGTGTAGCAGGGAGTCCATCTTATGGCAGAGATATTAGTTTAGGAGCATTGTTGATTCCCAAATACTCTAGCAAGGTGAGTTTTAGCAGCACCTTAGACTGTATAAACTCAAGACACTCTAGATCCGAGAAACTAAGCTTTCTAAGAGAGGTTGGCAGCAACCACTCTTCATCCTCTTCTTTCTCTGGGAATGACACCATACCTGAAGCGCAAATGATAGTCAATTATTCAAGAGAAGTAAGTTTGCTCAGTCCAGGACACTTGGGCAGCATATCTAGATTGTCCCCACATCCTCCAATCTGCATCTTTTCCAGCTTTTTGGGCAATCCACCGCTAGGAAAGGTGACCAGGCGAGAACATTTATTTATGCTCAAATGTCCAAGGGATGTGAACAGGTTCATCTGCTCAGGTAGAGACTCAAGATTCTTACAATCACTGATACAAAGACGTTTCAAGGTAGGCAACAATCCATTAGGAAAATGCTTAAGAGAGGAACAACCCACAATGATCAATGTTTGAAGACTTGTGAGGTTGTGAAGCCACCAAAACCTAGAAGGTAAATCGAGATTACTAAAATCTTTTAAGCAAAGAAATTCCAGTGAAGCAGGCCACAATCCCCTTACTCCATCTACTGCTGGGGAAGATGTGAAACCAGAACATTGGGAGATAGTTAAATGTGTGAGACAAGTGAGATTGTGAATCATGGTGGGAAAGAACTCCAAGCTCTGGCAAGCAGTGACAGAAAGTGTTTGCAGTTTGGGGGGCAAGGTCATTGACTTAACATCATGGCAATTCTCAATTTCAAAATGACGGAGAGAAACAATGTAGTGTAAATCCATAATCTTGTTTCCTAGTCCACTGCAACTTTTGATATGTAAGTTTTCAAGTGATGTGAGCATTTGTAAGAAATCTTGGACTAGGCAAATACCTAGAATCCACAAATAAGAAAGAGCACTGAGTTTGGGCAACCTTGCAAATAGTATACTGTTGTTTATTTCCAACAAGTCCAAATGACAGAGCGATGGAACCCATGGAACAGCAACCAATTCTTGACATTGTTCTAAGTGCAAGGATACCAAGAATGGAAGGTGTTCTGGCAATTCCCTTAACTTGGGGCAGTTGGTTATAGTGAGGTAACGAAGGAAGGGAAATTCTTGATAACCTATTGCGGTGGCAGATGTTGATAGTGATTCACCATATGAGAAATTTCCATGTCTTGGAGGAGAAGTCAGCTCATTGCAGTCTGCAATGTTCAAAGATAACAAGGAAGCAAACCTGTAAGAGGGGAGTCTCCTCAGCTTAGGACAATTCTGAATGGTAAGGCTACCGATGCTAGGGAAAAATTGTAGGCATTTAGTATCTTGTTGTTCTTGGTCATCTACCCCTCCTTCAAAACACCATTCCTCCCACTCAGTGTTACTGATAAGTTTCAACACTTCTAGTGATTGAAACTCTTGGCCACAAAACTCAGGCCCCACATGCTTTATGTTACTCATGCCCTTAATCCAAAGATATTTGAGCAAAGGTAGCCTTCCAAGAGGAGGCAGGGCATTAAGTTGTTTACATTCACAGAGCTGCAAAATTTGTAGGTTTGAAAGCATCTTAATCCAACTAGGAAACCTTGAACCAGGATAGCAACTGATATTCAAGTCCTCTAAGTTGGAATGAGGTTGCAGACCTTCAATAATTTCCAATGTTCTTTCATTTCCTGAGCCTTTATCACTCCATACTAACTCCAATTTCCGAAGACATTCCTTGTTATCTAGATAGGCCTCCTTGGCATCCCTGGCGACAGATATATTCTCCAACTTCGATATGTGGAGTTGTCCCTTGAGGTGTTTTAAATCCTTCAATTCTCCAATGATGTTGCTACTACTGCTGCTACACCTAGTATTGTTTTCGCCAACAACAAATTCAGGCAATGTTTGAAGACTAATTAGCATTCCAATCCCATGTGGCATTCTCTCTACTTTCCATCCTCTATCTACTTTGATATGCTGCAGGTTAATTAGGTTGGGTAGGCCTTCAGATAATCTACTATAGCATTCACTTGGGAGTATTAAAGTTTGTAAATTGTAAAGGCTAGAAATTGACTCTGGTAACCATTTGATTCTAGTGCCACTCAAGTCCAGGTAGTGTAGGAGTTTCAATTTAGCAATGGAATCTGCCAATCTGGCAACTCATCAATGTGGTGATCAGATAAGCACAACACACGTAAGCATTTCAAGGCATTAAATAAGCCATCAAGATGTTTTTTGTCATAGGCAATTCCATATCTGCATCTCAATTGCAAAAATGTGCGGAGATACTTAGCTTTGTGCAAAATATCAGCTTTTATTATGGGAAGGACCGATAAATGACGAACCCTGTCAGTCATGTTAGACAAGTTATTCTCCAACCTAAAGCAAATCTCTTTTGAAATAGACTGTGACAAGTCATGAATGAGGTCGCGCATCACAAATTCTGTTTTCTGGTCATTTTTAAAGTATTGGAAAAATGACCTACAAAACAGCTCATCAAAATACTGCCCGCCTATTTCTTCCATCTCTTTCTGCCCTGTATAGCGTGTAAACCCTTCTGCCATCCACAACAATACCAATTCATCCTTGTCAAATAGGTAGTTGATGGTGCGCAATCTAGTTACTCCTAGTTGGAAGACGATCCAAGTTCCAATTGTGTAGTAAGCTAAACCAATCTGCAAAATAGTGGATCAGAGAACCCGGGGTAGATAACCCGGCAAGGTCGCTCCAATGCTTAAGTCAGTATTATACTGTGGATGCGAGCTGAATACTTGAGTACTTGAATGCTAGTGAGTAAAATAATCACGCGTACCTTTGCCTTGGGGTTTTATGTCCTTATATAGTGGAGTCATCGTGGGCCTTACGAAAGCGCTCCGGGATCTCCAGGCTGTGTGGATAAGATCTATTCCTTTTTTGAAGGGGAGCAATGTGCTAATAAGGTTTATCGTCTACCTCCGATTCAGGCGGAGCTAGGATGAGTCTCGTCGTGATCCGAGAAATTCGGGGTCCGTTGGGGAGGTCTTTCGAGTAGACTACGTGGCGTTTCGGCTCTTTATCTCCGAATTGTTGCTTCGGTTCTTTAGTCCCGAACTAGATTGGGTGTCAAGGTGTCTCTATGTCAAGGTGGTTTTTGGGTCGAGGTGGCTGAACATCCGAGCTCAGAATGTTGCGGGCCGGGTTCGTTTGGCTGAGTTGTCACCCCTCGAGCAGATCGCGTCTACGTGCCCCCTTCTTACTAGGTCGTGCCAAATCACCCTTCATCAGTAGTATTTTGGAAAGATGGAACAATAAGCAAAACAGCGATTCAAGTTGACTGTGAGATGTTTATAGCTCGATCTTAGAGCTGGCATAACTTCATCTTTGTCTTCTGGTACATCCCAAACCTCACTTTTCAATATAGTTTTCCACTTTTTCTCATCAGCTGTTGAGCTTAAGAGGCCTCCAATTGTCTTCACAGCAAGAGGCAAACCCTTACATTTCTTCACAATATCTTTACCAATTGCTTCCAAGTATGGATTGTAATTGACATTGTTAGCAGATAACGCATGTCGCTTAAACAATGACCAACCATCTTCATCCGACAAACCCACCAAAATGTGAGCATCCATCGTGCCCATGATCAATGAAACTTCTCTGCTTCGTGTGGTTATTATAACTTTTCTCCCCTGTTTCCCAAATTTAAAAGGGGTTTGCAGTTTATCCCAATGATTTCTCTTTAGATTCCACACATCATCCAAAACGAATAAAAACCTTTTACGGTTTAATCTTTGCTTAAGTTTAGACCGGATCAAGGTAAGTAAGTTCACAACGCTCTTTGGTGGCCGACTCCATAATAGCTTTTGTTGTGTTTCCAACATCCACTTCTTCCGATACACAGACCCATGCTTTAAGATCGAAGTGATTCTCTACTCTCTTGTCGTTGTAAACAAGTTGGGCAAGGGTTGTCTTGCCAAGCCCACCCATTCCCACAATGGGAATTACCTCAAATGCGTTTCCCTCCCTCAGCCCATCTGATAAAAACAACTCAGCAATTTTATTCTTATCACCCTCTCGACCGTAAACGTGTGATTCACTGACCAAGGAACTCGTTTGTCGACTCCATGTAAAGGTTATCCCTGTCTTTAGCTAATTTCTCTAATTTTTCAGAGATCTCCTTAATCCTAGATGCCATGTCTGGACGATCAAAGATATTCTTTATCTTCTTCTTCTTTTCTGATAAGATTTTCGCTACCTTATTAACGGGGGTAAAACAAAAGGAAGAGCTCCATACCTGTTGAGTTTCAGCTTTTATTTTTGCTTTCAGGTCAGATCTTCCAGCTTCAGTCATATACTCGTCCACTATGTCCTCGGCGTCATAAATCAGCTGCCTAAGCTCTTCCAACCAAATCTTCACCAAGTTGTCGTCGTTCTGTTTCTGCTCAGCATCATCCACCGCAGTTTGGATCTTCTTCAGAGAATTCTTTAGTTTATTAATGTCTTCATCGAGGTCACACCGGGATTGAAGCTCTTTGAAGATTGGAGAGGCCAACTTCTGAATAATCAAATCGAGAGAAGAGGAAACAAGTGCTTCTGCAACAAAAGCCATCTTCTTGCTGATAATAGAAGGAAGATCAAGTGACTCGAAGGCAAGCCAAAAATGAATATGTGCAGTGAATAATATAAAGGGTTCATCTGACTTCAATAATCCAACCAGCCCAAGCATTCACTGCACCACAAGATGAAGAACTGGAGAAGCATACTTCTCGAGCTTTCTATTATATTATGTTGTACCATTTTCTTTTGCGTGTAACCATCAACTTTGACATATTCTCTCCAGATTTTATGGAAGAGGATGACAATGAGGCGCGGCCCATGAATTTTCAAAACCAATACTGAGAATCAACTGCATCATCTTTAAACTTTGTTAAAATTGCATGGATTTGATATTGGGCACATACAGTAAGCACACAATTACGGATAAACTTATGCTGGGACCATTCTAATACACATATGATGTTACTAATCCAACCGAATAATCAATAATCAATTACCAAGTTGGCGTGGAGCAAATTTCCATATTAGTTCGAACTTACCAAATTAGCACCAGGATTTCTAACTTAGTTGGAATTTACCAAGCTAGTGTCAACTTTTATTTTGGTTCAAAATTACTAAGTTAGCATTAGTTCATGAGTTCCAAATTTTTGTTCAATTAGGCAACGTTTGGAAGAGGTGTAAAACGTCATCAGTGTAAAAAGATGTTTAAGTTTTATACTAAACCATAAATATATATGACTGTTGTATTTTGAAATCGATATAAAAAGATGTTTAAGTTTTACATCAATAAAATCGATTAGTTTTTACATGGATGATCGATGTAAAACTTTAAAGCTGATGAGGTTTTACATCTATTATCGACGTAAAACTACACTCCATCCAAACGCACGTAAAACTGAACCGGAGTGTTATTTTATGTTGATAATAATTACACTCTTTTACCAAACACGTACAAAAGTGAACCAATGTAAATTTACATCGCATCCAAATACAGCCTTAACACTTTCTTTTTGAAAAGTTTTAGTGAGATTCTATTATAGAGTGTTTTCATAGATTATGAAACTTTTTATAAGAACCATAAGGGTGTAAGTCTATATAAAGAGTAGTTAGGGGAAGGTTAAGACAGTTTTTGACATTAATTTTCTCTTAATTATATAGTGAAGAATTCTTCTTCTTGAAATTCAATTTCTGTTCTTTTCTTTGAAGCCTTTTTCAATGTGATTTATTTTCGTATTGCGTTAGGTTTAACGACAGATTTTGAGATGGTGAAGGGTTTTGAAATAATACAAGTATTATGCTAAACCAGATCCTCCCATGGCATATTATTGGAAAGTATAGAAATTTTATGTATTAAGTGTTGAATATAATAATATTTTAAATTTGATGTAAAGGATAACTCATAGTTTATGTGTTTTTAACATATCTTAATCAAATAAATGGAATTTTATTATTTATCTCTTACTTATCTATTGATTATATATAATAAGAAATAATAAGAATTATAGGTGGGCTCTATATCCACTCTGTCCTACCCTTAAAAGTGGAGAGGATATGATGTGAGAAGGTTTTGCATTTTTATGTGAAGAAAGAGTTTGGATTCTCAAAATTAAGCCCACCATGGATTTTGGGATAGGTACGGGTTAGGAGGTTTTGAGAGGCTGGTAGAATCTAAAATTTATAAAACCAAACCCTCCCCAAATTAACCCGCCTTGTTGCCATCCTTATTTCATTCTAAAAGAATTGATTATTCCCATGAATCCCCCATGAAATTGCGCTATCTATCCTTTGAAAATTGATTATTCCCTCTGCTTTTGGTCTTTGTAATAACTAACTTGTCTTTCCCTTTTTTTTTAACATTTTTGCAGTGGATAAAAAGAATTACTCTTAAGAAAATGCTAAGATTGTTCCATTAATTGTTACTTCACTTTCTTTTTCAAGTTTTAAATCTAAGCTATCGGTTTGAAGACCCTTCGTGCTGCAATTGTACAAATAAATCAATGCACACATCATACATAATATACAACAATATTTATTATTAGATTAGATTTCGATGGAACCCAAACTATATATATAGATTAGTTGTTTTCTTTTTCTTTTTTTTTCATTGTGGACTGGGTACATTTTCCCATGACATCAAATCTGACCCGGTCAATTCTAGTTTATTATATTATAATATTAATATTCTTTTAATCCTATCCTCAATCCAATCTTTCTCAAACCTAACCCCTTTTAAGGATTAATCGGATGACCACAAAATGCTGGCCACGAGACCTCGCAGCTGAAATGAGGAACATCTCGTTTTTTAGTGGATTTGAGCCCAACCCAAAGTTACTCCCTTCAGTTGAGACAATAAAAGCCTTCATCAACTGGTATTTGATGAATATTCTAAGAATTGGACTAGATGATTGAACCATTTAGACCGTCATTTGGCCATTGTGACGTTAGCCTTTTCTTCCTTTTTTGGATAATAGACTATACTCCACTTCAGAATTCTGAATTCTACAACAAATCAAAATTTTAAATACCTCCATCTAAATATTAATATTCACCCATGTATTGGCATCAATTTCAAACCGGCACTTACCTCAATTGTACAATCGAGCTAAGATTTATGGGCATGGATTAAATAGTAAAACCCCCTTTTTCTTGATAATTCAAGACAAGTAGTAAGTTTATTTTTTTTTTTTTTTGTTAAGTAGACAAGAAGCTAGCTTGGTATAAGGTTATTAGTGACAATATTTTAAAATCCAACTTGGAACCAGAATTGATGAGGGGTGATTTGGCCTGACCTAATGGGCAGAAGACACATGGACGCAACCTGCCAGCCAAATGATGAATCAGCATTGAGTGCCACATCGGCAAGCTGGGGGACTTCAGGTGCCCGATCACTTCAGATAGCACCAAAGCCAAGGCACCTCGGTACCCACGTACACCGAGGTGACACGTAACCGACTCTAGAAGCTCGTCAGCTATCTCCGAGCCTTCTGGGAGTAAATCGCTGAACCGTAGGCCTTATCTGCATCCCGCCCGAATCGGATCGACGCGATAAGCATTATCAGCTAGCACGTTATCCACCTACCAGTGCAGAATGGACTCCTACTTGTTCGGCCTGAGAATCTCGGAAAGGCTTCGTGAGGCCCACACACCCTTGCTATATAAAGGCATCAGCCCCCAAGACTCAGGTACGCGTGATTAAGTGCATTCTAGCTCTCAACTTTACTGATTT